GAAGAAATAGCTACTCAAGTACTTAGAGTTGATTTTCTTAATGTTTTTAGAGATTCTTCTATTTTATTTAGAGCTAATAGTGTTGAATCAAAAGAAACATTTGAAGAATTATGTTTTGCACAACAAACAATATTAAGTTTAATGATTAGAAATTATATGATGTTAATTATTAGAGGAGGAATGCTTCAAAGATTAGGAGTATTTGGACTATCATTATTGGTAATGAGATTTGACTGTGATAGTTCTATCCAAAGTCAAGAAAACAAAGAAAAGTTAGCTACAATGATGATGCCTATAGTTATTTATATGATTGAAGAATATGAATTCTTTAAGAAATGGCATTCTATTAATTTAGAAACTCTTGAAGATAAACATTTATTATTTACGTTACAATCATTTGTATTGTGTTTTATGTTTGTTATGAAGAATCTTAAAACAAGTACTCTACGAACTTATTTGGAAAAAGAAGTACCAATTCGATGTTCTATGTTAATGACTCAAATAGAATGGGCTTTAAAAGTTATTAGTATTCCTATTCCTACTTATCTTACACCTATTGAAGCTTTTAGAGAAACAAGAAGACAAGTATTAATTAGTTTTTTCGATATGCCACAAAATGCTAATGAAGTTTTCTTTACAATGGAAAGGTCAACAAAAGTTGGTACTTTTCCAGTTGAACAAGTTGCTCGTTCTCAGACAATGAAACTTAATCAAAAACCATTTATTAAAACTTCAGTTGGTGGTGGTGTACCAAAACGACCATCATTTATTTCTTTTGGTAAAACTATTAAAGATACTTTTGTTGGTTCATCATCATCATCTTCATCTTCAAGCAAAAGAGGAGACTCTAAAACAATAATTGGAAATAAAAAAGATGAACCAGATTCTTCAGCTGTTGGAGAAAGTGCTGGAGGTGGAGGAGATAAAAAGTCTATTAAAACAGATATTTTTAGAAGAGCATTATCACCAAGAATATTTGGTGACGAAGATAAAAAAGAAAGTTCAATTCCTTTATTTGGTGAAAAGAAAGTACTTTCTCCACGTAAAGTTATTAAAGATAAAAAACCAGAAGTTGATCAAGTAACAAGAAAAATGGAACTTCAAGTTGTAATGAAAGATTGTTTATTAACAATAATGGATGTAATAGAAATAGTTTATGATATATTTATTGAAAAAGAGAAAATAAATGAAAATGAAATTAATACTAAAATAGAAGCAATATTAAAGATTCTTATAGAAAATTCGTCAATGTCAACAGACATTTGTTCTTATTTAAGAGACTTTATTGTTAGGTTTAGAGTAAGTTTATTTACACGTAGTATTGAAATTTCATTAAACGTTGTTAAACAATTATTAGAATATTTTTATTCTAAAGAAAATAGAAAAAGATTAGATGCTATTACTTTAATGTATCTTTTTACTAAATGTAATTATATTACTACATACGATGCTGCATTAAGTGAGTCTCATATATCATCTGCTCTTGTTTCTAAATCATTATCATCTACTGCACAAAATCAATTAATTCAATTTAGTACATTCCTTAGTGGATTAGATGAAATGAAACAAATTCATGAAGAAGATAGAGAATGGGCACAAAAAGAAATGGAAACTGCAATGGAAAAATCATATAATGAAATACATAATGACAATAGTGCTGCTGTTAGAGTACAACAACTATGTATTGGATTAGATGCAGCTGCAATTGAAGAATTTATTTCATATTTATGTGAATTAATAAAACCTAAATTAAATCAAATTAAAGAATTTGAACATTTAGATTGTAGTTATATTGATTGTTATAATGAAATAAGAAAAGATGTTTCAAAAATGTATTTCCAAAATCTTAGATTTAAAGAAGAAGATTCTATTGCCATTCAACGATTAATTAAAAGTAGATATACAGGAACTAATTTGTATGAACCTCTTTTTACCTCTTATCAAAAATTAGATGAAATGTTTATTGAATTTATGAATAATTATAGACGTTGTTTAAAAGAAAGTAGAAAACAACAAGAAAAAGAAGAAAAAATTGGTGTTCAAGTTCAGAAATATGAGGAAATTAATGAAAAAATATTTGATTGGGTGAAACAAGAGTTAAAAGTTAAAAATGTCTTTGGAGATGGTATTGGAGATGTTGATTTGTTAGAAAAGAAAGAGTCGTTGACAGTAAAATTAAGTTCTATTACTAAAGAAGGGAATGAATTATTAAATGAAGCATGTAATATCGAAAATGAGTTAAGAAAAATTACTGATAAAAAAGAAGTCGATTCACTAATTTGTGTTGAGAGTAATGATTTAAAACAATTAATTCAAGATGTTGTAGTAATGGTAGAATCACAGTTACAAGGAATTATTGATGTACTAGATGTTAGACAAAATTATCAAGAAAGAAAAGCTGAAATTGATAAAATTATTGCAGAAAATGAAAAGTTAGTTTGTCAACAACATGCTGCTATTATGAACGAATTTTGTGAAGGACCAGTTAGTGCTGAATATTTCACAAGAAGATTTGTTGAACTTCAAATTCTTAATGAACAATCAATTGAATTAAGTAGAAGAAGAGGAGAGAAGAGTGGAGAAATTATTACAGCTACAGCACCATGGGAAACATATTATAATTATTGGGAAAAAATTATTCAAATGTCACAAAATCTTGTAGTCCATTTAAAGAATTGTGTATTGAAGAAAAAGACATTTGATGAAAATTTTAATAAAGCAAGAGAATGGTATCAAAAAGAAAATTCATTTGCTAAAAATGTATTAAAAGTACAAGAGTTTTATCTTAGTAGTAAGGCTACATTAAAGTTAGAATTACCTGAAAGTCATGAATTTTTTGAAACTGTTGTTGGTGTTACTGAAGGACTTATTAAAGAAGAAAATGAAATAAAAGGACTTATAGAAACTATTAATAAAGAAACAAATGAATTAGATAAAATACTTAAAACAAAAGAAGAAAGAAAAGAAAAAAGAAGAAGAAAAAGTTCAGTTGAAATGAATAAAAGAAAAACAAAAGAAGGAAATAATACAGAAAAGGTGTTTGGGTTTATTGAAAGAGAAACGCCATATACATATGAAATACTTGGAGAAATTAATGAAATTGGTGAAGACTTTATGAGACAATTAGAAGAATTTGATAAAGAAATGAAAATTAAAAAAGAGAAAGAAAAAGAACGAGAACAAGAGCGTAACAATTATAAGAATAGTATTGAAGAATTTTATAGAGATTGTAATGAAGCATTAAAGGCAGTTAAAGTTGATTTTAAAACATTAAAGAGTGCAAGATCAAATTATAGTAAAATTCAAGAGATTATTAAGAAAAGAATAAGTTGGATTAATAAATATGTTAATTATAACGGAAAAGAAATGAGTTTAAATGAAATTTGGAATAAAACAAATGAGAAAGGACTTGTTAATAAAGAAAATAAAGTAGATGAAAAGAAAGAAGAATTATTAAAGAAAGAAAAAATTAAAAAAGTTGGAACACTTAAATTGTCTAAGAAAAAGAAAGAGATATTCCAATTTCTTGATTGTAATGGAAATTTTAGAAGAGAAGCATTACTTGATGTTTCACCAATGCAACAAAGAGAATTTCATAGAGAATTTGAAAATATGATAGAAGGAATTAAAGACTTATGTAATAGACTAACTCAATTATTGGAAAGTCATGAACGTAAAACAGAACCAGAAGAAATTCATGAAAAAGTATATTCTCTTGCTATAGAAGCTATTGGATCACCACAACTTCATTTTACATGGATGTGTGAATTGTCACATAAATTAAAAATTGCTGAATTAAATATTGAAGAAGGGTTATGTGAAGTTGCTATTGTTTATTATTTATTTAAGTCATTATATGGTGATAATGTTGTAGGAAATTATGAAGAAATGTTAACTAATATTGCTCCTGACTTTTTATTGTATGAACCTTCAAAAATATCTAATGGGATGGTTTCAGCATTTACTAATGATAAATTAATTCATCACGCATTAATGGCTATTGAAGCGTTTGAAGAAGGAAAACTCTTTTCACATGCAGTACGAGTATGTGAGTTTTTATTAGCACATTTCCAAAATATGAACGATTTAAATCAAATAGTCAGTATTCATTCAAGAATAGAAAAATTATATGAACAAATGGGAACTGTTGGTAAAGGAATTGAATTACATTATTATTGTGTAATTATTTGCAATTCTTCTAATGGAACAAACGATAATGAATATATTTATTGTTCTACTAAAACAAGATCAGTATTTGAACAATATATTCATTTAGTTAATAGAAATGTTGGAATTACTGTTTGGGAAGTTTATCCAATTGTTAATAATCAAGTTATAAGACAACAACAGTCTATACTTATTCCAACAGATAAGTTTATGTTAGAAAATGATCAAATTAAAACAAGTATTGAAGATTCTATCTCGATTCATGTAGAATATCAAACTGAAAGAAAATTACCATCATTGTTATCTCGTTCTCATGTTATTAGTAAATTTACTAATGTGTTATCTCCATGTGAAAAAACTGTTGGTGATATGTTTAAATTATATGAAGCATTAGAATCTGTATTTGATTCTGGTTTTAGAGAAGATATTATTCCTATTTTAAGATATATACTTGCACCAACTCCATATAGTGGATTATTAACGACAACTCAAGTATTCTTAGATAAAACGCTTATGAGTCAAGACAAAACATTAATAAAAGAATTATTTGATATTGTTTGTAAACTATCAAATCTCTGTAAAATGGTATTGGATGAATTTGAAGATAATACATCTAAAGAAATCGCCATTGCAAGAAAAGACTATTTTAATTTTGCAATGTTCATAAAATCTATTGAAGAAACTGTATTAAATTTCATTGAAACACCAAATGAAGAAAAGTAATTCATTTCCTTTCATTTATTTTGTTTTATATAACATGAATATTTCTTTTATTACAAAAAACTAATAAAATTTATTATTTAATTTAACTAAAAAAGAAAAGAACTTAAAAGATGAAATTAAGAATGCTCTTATGGATCATCTTCACTACTTGTTTTGGTTATTATCAAAGTGATACAATTACAATTAAAACAACAAGAAATTATTTGTTTTCATTTTCTATTGGAAAAGAGGGTAAATTTGATATTACAACTATGACACCTGAATTTAATGATAGAATAACACTTGCTGTATGTCAACGAGGAAGAGATTATACAGCACCACCAACAGCAAGTGATAGAGAAAAATGTGAAAGATTAGAAAAAATTTGTGAAACGTGTTTGTCATTAATAAGAAGAAATGATAAAAAAGAAAGGAAAATAACAATTAGATGTATTTAATGACTCGTCTTATCATTATTTAAATGCAAGTGTTTATGACTTTGCTCTTTTAGCATGTAACGCAACATTTCCATTTAAATTTCAATATACAATTCATATTAAAAATGGTAAAAGTGAATTACCAATAAGTCAAGTTTATTCTCCAGAAGTGTATTTAATATTAATGGGAGTATATTCATTTATAATGATAAGTTATATTATTTATTGTATTTTTAATAAAAGACATATAAAACAAATTCATCGTATAGTTTTAGTTATACAAATTGTCTTTGTGTTACATTGTTTATTTGCGAGTAGTTATTATCGTGATTATTCAAAATCAGGACAGCCATTCCTCTTTTTATTTTATGTTTCATCTTTATTCCATTCAATGTCAGATTATCTTCCAATTGTTTTATGTAGTATTTTAACATTAGGATATAGTATTGTTTATAGTCATTTTTTCCGTCAACAAACACAACCATTTGTCATTATTTTGTTAGTTTATTTATTCATTTCTTTTGGTTCTCATATCTTTAAAGATATTCGTTTAATGGTTTCTTTAGTTGGAATATTTTTTATTCTTCCAATAACAGGAAGGTTTGTGGCTTTAAATAGACATTTTATTACAATGCAAATTCTTTCAGAAGAAGTACCTGTTGAGTTTATTGAAGTACTTAAAAAAAAGATTCAAATTCTTCAGTTTTGTTATTTTCTAGTATTTGTTCGTCTTGTTATTTGTACATTATATGACTTTACTCAAGAAGTTTTATTTTCTAATTCTCCATATATCTCTGTTTTTGTTTTTGAAATACTCCTTTTGATGACTTCTTTATTTTTGATAGTTATTCTTCTTCCTCGAGAAGGTGTTTTTACTCATATTCATCTTAATCAACTCTTAGAAGTTTATCACCAACCACCTCAAAGACATTACCAAATAATGAAAGATGTAAAAGAAAAGATAGATAGAGAAGAGATAGTGTTTTTTACTTATGCAACCTCTGTTTCTTTATCTTCTCAAGAAATTGCTCCAATAGGAATTGGTTATGTTGTAACAAATTAATTTCATTGATGTTTTGTTTTGTTAAATGTCTTTTTAAATAAAAACAAAATAATGAAATAAAAATAAACTTTTGTTTTATATATCAATTTTTAACTATTGAATTTAAAAAAGTTTTTATTTTACTATCCAATTCTTCAATTATAAGACGAATATGAGAATAATAATAATAATGAGAACAACTACTAAGACACCAATAACAAGTCCTATTTTCCAGTCTAATAGTTTAGAATATTTTATTATTTGAAAAAAGATATAAAATAAACAAACTACTACTCTTTTCTATAACTTGGTCAATTTTTTTTCTGGTTGAAACAATTCTTGAATCAGTATGATCAACTTTATCAGCAACCTCATTAATAATTTGGTCTTGTTGGGAAATTTCATCATTAATAATTAAACTAACTTCATGGACTGTATTAAGATTTTCACCTAATTTATTTAATTGTTCATCTTGTTTTTTTATGATTTGTTCTTGTCTTTTCTTTTCGTTGTCAATAAAAAAATCATTCTCTTCTCTCATATAATCATTTAATTCCATTTCTTGTTGGGTAGACATTCTTGGTTGTTTTGACATTTTCTTTCCTCTTTAAATGTTTTTTTCAAGTTTTTATTGTTCCTTTTAATTTATGAGAAATATAACAAAAAAAATAAATATAATAAAAGTCTTTTTAATGATGATAAAATGTTTGGAAGTGTGTTTTGAAACAACAATAATATTGAACAAAAGCAACTTCCTTTTACTTCTTTGAACCCTCTTTAAAGAAAGAACTGATAAAGTCTTACTTAAACAAAGAGTTCAATAATTATTTTTTTACTGTTATTTCAGTTTAAATAGTCATTGACACGTCATTATTTTTGTTTCTAAATAGTTCTAATTAAATATTTTAATCTTTTTAAATAGTTGAAATACAATTTCTCTTTTCATGGGTGTTTATCCAACTTTATTCGTTTGTTCAACAGAAAAAATGAAGTTATTGAATTATTTCAAAGAGACAATATTGAATAAAAAGAAATTTCAAAAGATAATTATTTTATCACAAAAAAAAAAGAATAAAATAATTTTAGAAAAAAAAAAGACTGAATAACACAATTCTATTAATGAAAAAACAGAAAAAATAAAAAAGAAAAAACATAAAAAAGATATTTTAAAATGGACGAGTTAAAACGATATTATATTGATATTATACGAATAAATGATCCAGAGAATGTTAATGCAATTGAAAATCGATTAAAGAATTATAGTGAAAGTAATCAATTATTACCACTTTTTATTGATAAATTTTTTAATCAATTTAATAAAGGAACAGTACTAGAATATTCATCTGCAAAGTCAGTATTAAAGGGGATGGTTATTTTATCAAATGAACAATTTTTTGAAAGTACTCAATACAAATTTATGAGTGATGAATTTATTATTTCATATTCTCATTATTATTATATTCTTGTTAATGGAATAATTGTTGATAATAAATTATGTGAATGCCTTATTGAATTAGCATTAAACGTATTTCCTAAAATTGAGTTTAATATTATTCCAAAAGAACTTATTCAAATTAATTTTAAACAAATTGAATATGCAACTCTTTTTCTTCCTGTATTTGAAATGATTAGCAAAGTAATGAATCCAAAAGTTCTTCAAGAATTATATGTTAGTAGATCAATGAAAGAAGCATTAAATAAAACAGTTGAAACTATGTTAGATGCAAAACTTAATGAAAATACATTAAAAGTAATTGACACATATTTAAATTTTATTAAGACAACATGTACTTTTGATTCTAGAATATTAAATATTCATATTCAATCATTATTTTTTAATAGAATTGTTATTATTATTACTTCTCCTATTACTTTTGAAATGTTAAATACATCAGTTAATGATACTTCTTTTTTTGACACTTTACAATTATCTATTGTTACTTCATTACAAGATCTTTGTTTTTATGGAAATGGTGTTTATTCTATCACATCTTCTCCTCCTTCTTTTAACAATTATAATAATGTTGGATTAATTAAAAATTACGAAATACCTTCAATATTAATGAAATTACTTGTTTGTCCAAGATTAACTTTATATGCATTACAATCAATTCAATTCATCTTATTTTGTAATCCAGAGAATTATTATATTCTTCCAACTTATTTAGAATCAATTTGTTTAATGTTAGTATCATTTAAAAGTATTGAAATTGAATTGGTATTTCAAATGTTAGAAAAGTTATTGAATACATACCATCGTGATTTGTCTCCTTTTGTTGATGTGTTTATTCAATTTATTTCATTGTCTAACTTTCTTCATACATCTATTATGCCTCCTTTTATTTCTTTTATTATTAAATTAATTGGAAGTCATCGTTCATTATATCAATCTTCATTAAGTCCTTTATTAATTCCTTTAGTTCAAGTATTATTAGATACTTCTACAACTACTGAAGATACATCTAATATTGTTGAATGTGTTACACGAGTTATTTGTATTTTATTGTCTGGGAATAAAGAAAATACTGCATTGTTTATGAGAGAAAGTTCAATAATAGAAAAGCTTGTTCAGTTGTTTAATAATAAACCTCAATATCGTAATGAAATTACATCTATAATCAAAGAAGTTATCGCATTAGTTCCAACAGACCAAGCAGCACTTATTTCCACATTAATGATTGATGAAATATTGAATGATATTGACCCAATTTCACGTCTTTCTTCTGCTATTTCTTTAATGGACCAATCCCCAATTGCAAGAGAAATGTTTGGTGTTTGTAATTGTTTTGAGTTATTACGTAAATTTATTGAGCGTTGGGGATATTCTCAACCATTAAATACCCCAACTCGAAGTAAAACATTAGTTCAACGAATGAATATCATAACATCATGTGTAGATTCTTATGTTTGTACTTTACAAGAATCAACAACAAATAGAATGCGTTTGCAAAATGGATTTCCAGTTAAATTTGTTGATGACTATTTAGAATTTAATCCATGGAAAGAAACTGAACCAATTATTGTCAGTTCTCACATACTAGCTCTTATTACAGAACAACCAACAAATAAAATTAAATCAATATTTATAGGAGAACCAATTAAAGTTAATATTATCAACTCTTATTTACTTCCTTCATTATTACGTTTCTCAAAAAGTCTTGAAGAAAAACACAGAAATTATCTTTTTAAAACTCTTACAAACTCTTTTGAAAGTACAATGGAATTATTCGGTGCTTATCAATCAAATGTTTTAGAAACAATTCTATTCTGTTTTTCTAATGCTCTAAATGATCCTTTATTAGTTCAATTGATTGAAAAAATAGGAAGATATTCTATCAAACCTAAAAGTTGTAAAAAACTTATTAAAGCTTTAAAAGGAGAATGTCTTAATAGTAATTTATTATCAATACTCAGTTCTATGGTGAGTGGAGATACAGTAGGTGGATTAACTTTCGATACTTCTGATAAAGTATCATATATAAAAAATTATATATGGTTAGATAATATTCCACTATTAATTACAGGATGGTTTAGACTCTGTGGTGGAATATATAATATTGTGGAAATTATTCCAGTTGGAAGTTCTGGTGGAATATCTATTTCTATAAACACTGGAATAATGGAAATTTCTAATGATAATACGAGACTAAGTTTCATAAATGTTCCATTAGGAACATGGTTTCATTTAACTATTTGTCTGTATCCAAATCAACCGATTTTGTGTTTTGTTAATGGAAACTTCATTAATGAGTCAAAGTCAAATATTAATATTCTACAAGGAAGTTATACTGTCACTGTTGGTCATAATGGTCATTCAATTCATTCATATTCTTTTAGTGTCGGAGAATTAATGATTATTAATGGAACAAGAACAACAAATGACATAAAAACAATGTATCAATTAGGTCCACAATATAAAGGAAGGTATTGTGCTTCATGTTATAATGAATCAATAAGTTTGAGAGGACCATCAAGTATTATTAATCCTTCTATTTCTATTCAAAGAGATGATATTATTTATGTTATGACTGATCTTATCAATGATGTATCAAGAACAGATTTAGTTGTGGAAGGAAGAGTTTGCCCAACATCACCTTCTCCTTTCGTTACATGTATTTGTAGATGTGGAGGAATAGCATTATTATTATCATTAATAGAAAAATCTTCTTCAACACCAGAATTATGTGACTCATTGCAAGTGTTAATGTTTTGTTTGAGAGGTTCATCAGAACTTTATGCTGAAGCTATTAAAACAAATTCATTTGATATTCTAGTTTTTATTTTACATTCAAAGAAACAATTAATATCACATGGAGTTTTACAAGTATTATTAGCATTATCTGGAATTAAAACAAGTGACTCTGACTTCTGTGTAACACATCCAGAAATATTAACTACTTTAGTTCTTGATTTTGACCTTTTAAGCTCATGTCCAAATGGAATTGAATATGTATTAAAAACACTAAAATCAGTTTATGAATTTTCTCCTGTTTCTGCATCAGAGTCTCTAAGAGGAGTTGGATTAATGAGAAAATTAATGGTTCTTTTCATTGATGAAAATACAGAAAGTTCAGTAATTAATTGTGTAACTCAGTTATTAATTTGTATCCTTTCAGTAAATTGTAGTAAAGAAGAAGTTTCCGTTGTAACATCATTTGCTTCATACTTTCTTCAAGTTTTTGATAAATCAGATTCAGACATTCATCGCTCTTGGTGTGCTTTTAGATGTACTCAATTATTAACATTATTAGATCAAATAGTTTCTGTAAAAGGAATTCTTCCTGGATTGTCTTCCAATTTTATTTATCAGTTTGTTAGTGTTTCTAAACCTCCAGAATCACTTGCACCACCATTACTTCATCTTGCAGCAAATCTTTCATTTTTATCTCAATCATTTTCTGATGATTTTTATGCAGATTTAGATCAATTACTACGAGTAGTTTATGTATTTACTTCTTCAAAAGAATCTATATATGCTTTATTCGCTCTTTTATTACATACTAATCCAGTTATTTCAGAACTTTTTACAACAGTTAATATAGTTCAACGTCCATTATGTCCTCGATATATGTTATTATTAAATGAAATAGTTAGGTTGTCTTTATTAATTGAATTTGATAAACAACGCATTTTAAATTCAGAATTCATTATTTTAACATTTATTGATATATTTCATCAATACCGTTCAATAAGACAATCTGTTATTCAAAGTAATGAACTAGTAAAGAGTTTATTAAATGTTCTTGTTCTTAGAAATAAAAAATATATTGGTGATGCTCAATTAAATAAAGAGCAACAAACACTTTGTAAAGATGTAGTTAAATGTATTGGATATTTAATTGCTGCATCATTAAGAGATGGAGATGGTTATAAAAAAATCATCTATTATTCTTCTATTCTACAACCAAATGGAGATTTATTAAAAGAAATAATCCTTTCATCAATTCAACAATTACATGAATTATTTTATTCAATCCCTAAAGATAAAATTACTAAAATTTTTGTTGAATATTCTCAATTCTTATTAGATATTTCAATTTCACAACAAATGAATATAAGTCTTCATTTAGTCATTAATTGTATTTATGTCTTAATGAATATTTATATAGACTTTAAAGAAATTCATTCAAAAGACCAAAATAATATTTGGGTAGAAATGATTGACAGAATGAATCTTTTAATGTTTGATAATATTACAGAAGACTCTTTTGTATTTGCTGCACAACAATTTCATCTTCAAGACTTCTTTTTTAGTCAACCACACTCTGAAATATATGTCACAACATTCTTAACAATTATATTAACTCAAATAACCAATAGTCAACTTAAAAAAATTAATCCAATATATTCTAGTATTCTCAAAAGAATATCAATGAGTTATATGAATGTATTAAATAAAATACTTCCAAATAGAGACCTTAAGAAGGGATTTAAATCATTATTACAAATGAACTCTGATAAAGTTTTCTTATGGATAGAGAATAAAATAGTTGAATTACGTTCATTATGTCTTCAATTAAATCAAAGTATAAGAACTTTTAGAAATACCCAAGAAGAAAGAAAAGAAATTATTGTCAAACAATTAGCAGTAGCTTTTAAAGAAATTGGAAATGAAATTGATGATATTCATAAATCTGTTATAACTCAAGATGATAGATTAAAAGAAATTGATAATAGAAGACAAAGAGCAATAGAACTATATATTAAAGAAAGAAAGTACCTTTATGATAAACCCCTCTCAATAAAACTTCAATTAATAACTATTTGGAATAAAATGAAACTTAAATTAATAATGCCAAAAGGTATTTGGGAAGAAGATGTTGAAGAGTATATGATAGATGATATCCAAAGTTCATTTGGTATAAGAAGAAGAATTGTAAGAGATTATAGATTCAAAGAAAGATACGAATCCCAAATTGGTGAGTATGGTAAAATAATCAAATTACCAATAATACAAAAAAATTATGATATTGAGGTATTAACAACACCATTTGGTGAAGAAGAGGAGATATATTATTGTACTCAACTTTATGGATTAGAAGAAGTAGAAAGTCAAATTAAAATAGATGAAAAGAAATTTATTCTGATTAATTATATAAATACAGACCATTGTGACTGGATTAAAATTGATTGGAATGATATTGTTTGTATTATAAAAAGGAGGTATTTGCTTCAAAATAATGCTATTGAAATATTAACGTGTTATGGAAAGTCATTGTTTTTAATCTTTGAACATAAATATGATAAAATCATTAAAAAATTCATGAAATATAAAAGTGAATCATTTGATATTATTCATGAAATTGAACCACCAATTAATTTAATTAATAAAATTGGAAAAGTATTTAATCAAATAGATGAGATGACTGAATTATGGAAGAAAGGTGAATTGTCAAATTTTAATTATTTAATGTATCTTAATACTAAAGCAGGAAGAAGTTTTAATGACCTTTCTCAATATCCTATTTTTCCATGGATATTAAATGATTATACCAGTAAAACTATTGACTTAAATGATGAACATATTTATCGTAATTTTGCTTATCCAATCGTTGCTCAAACTGAAAACAAAAGAGAAAAACTACAGATTAAGT